ACGAGAAAGCTTCGTTGCTCAAGAAGCTGCAGTGGCCTGAGTTTGGCCTTGGGTTAGCTAGGAATGGATCCTTATAGCAGTCCTTACATGGGGATTGGTCTAAATTCCCTATAATACGGGGTCCTATATTTGGGTTCCCATTATAATACGGGGCCCTATAGAAATTTCCCCCATTTTGGGAACAGTAATTTAGGGAAACTACCACATACTGTAACCCATTGTAGTACTTTCCATTTCCTTTTCCCTTCCTTCATTTCCAGCTAACCAAAGGTAAGGAGAGGGCTCGCAGGAAGTTGGCCCTAGAACACGGGTATTTCTCCAAGATGAGAGTCACGAGAGGTTCCTTTGTATATACCGCCACAATCATTTTTAATCCTTACAGGAGAACCCACCAAAAAAGCCAGCATCTAGACAAATCCGCTTTTGACCTTGTTTGCAAACAATTTGGCCCTCATTCGTGAGGATGACGATTTCATATTTAGCGTCTAGAGTACAGCTTAGGTTTTGACATGCTGCATTCACCAGCAAGTACGCGCACGTCAATGTCAAGAGTTTAGGAAGCTCCGCTCCTTTTTACCGCCTTCAGCCTTTTCGTGCTTTTCCTATTCGGCTTGTTCTTGCATGCGCCGATTACATCCGAGTGAGCAGGGGAGCAAATTGCATGAGCTTTTTCAGATCCAGAAACTTGTGAGAGTTTCCAACGGCAGGATGTGGGGCGTGTCTGGATACTTGCGCATAGGAATGCGCCAGAATTTGCCGTTAGTATGGGCCCTTACGTTTGGGGTCCCCACATACCTGGTACATACCGTATACGCAATTTAAGGGCCCTTGGAGCCACCCTAGGCTAAGGGCCCACACTTCCAAAGATTGAACCAGGTGGGATGAAGTAGGTTCCATTTTCTTTTCCATTATCCCAATATAACCCCAATATGTCCCTATATCCCAATATGACCCCAATATTACCCTAATATCCAAAAATTGAACCAGGTGGGATGACAAGAGGGATCTCCGAGCTGAGATGCAGCGAGGGCCCGAACTTGCTTCCTAACCATCACGCAGGGGTTTCAGAGGTATCGCTAGTTTTTTTTTGAAATGTTTATACAGGTCTATATAGGGTTACATTGGGTTGCACGAACACTTTTTGTCAGGCTTTTTGAGATTCCATTGACCTTGTAAGTGTATTGAGACTGTGAAGGCTTTGGGACAATCCGCAAACGTCTCGCCGCCGCAAGCAAGAAACCCTAACCCCGAAATCTTATACCCTATAGTCCCCCTTTAGTAGATAGAATATGGCTTTTGGCATATTACAATAAGATCCCCACATACCCCATATTCTATCTACTTAAGGAGGACCATAAGTAGGTTCTTCACCCTTCAGCCCTGAGCTCAAATAGGGAACAGCCAGAAAGTTCGTCGTAACATTTGTGGGAGCATCCTGAGCTTGTGAAGAAATTGTTGTAATGCAAAAGAAAATGGAAACTACTGTTTAGGGTTTCGTGTTTAGGTTTAGGGTGTAGGAGTTCCGTACAGCCTCAGCCTCAGTCTTGAAGTCTTGAGTCCTACCCTAAGCTTTAGACCTTTAACCCCTACACCATGACCCTTGAGCTCTGAATTATCAGCCCCAAAGCCTGCATGCTGTACCCACCCCCAGCCCCTACACTTTCTTGAATCAACCATCTAAGTGGCGATAGCAAACTGCTTAGAGAGTTTCCAGGAGGGCAGCTAGTTTGGTTGGCTAAAAGTCGTCCCGATCGTGAGCTGTAACTCCTGGAGCCTGTGCCCCAATCTTAATTCCCCTACTGAACCTGAGCCCCAAACTGAAAACAACCCAGGAGGCTTGCCGACTTCAACCGCGGTTGCGAGGCGACTTTGCTAAGATGGAAACTGTCACCCAAACTTGGACTTTCATTCTCTAGGGTTTTACCCTGTTCCACATTCAGCGGAGACAAACTTCCAACTTTGCACAGAGAGGTTGGCACAAGAGTTTCGTTCCTGGCCTTTACTAAACAACGGACTTCATTGAGAAAACGGTGTCAATGCAGCCAATTCCAAGAAGTTGGTTCACGTAGCCCCTTAGCCTTCGCTGTCATAAATACTAGCTCAAAGGCCCCGTCCCTGCATCCTAAACACTAAACCCCATGACTGCAAGGACTGCAGGGCCGTAGACAGCAGGGAACTCAAACAGGGCACCTACGGTGCATGTCCTCTTGTGGGGCTTCTTGTCAATCAGAGTCAGACTCCTCTTGTTCTGCAGACCCTAAATTCTAAACCCCCAAACCCTAAAATTTCTCCCAGCAGAGTTAGAGATGTTGTGTGACTGCGGCGATTTGCGGTCTGACAAAGTCTAACTTGATAGGTGAAACCTAAGATTTGTAATTTGAAGCTAGACCCTAAACCTTATGCTTGGAGGTGCATTTTTTCAGGCATTGCTTGCAGACTGAAGATGTTGTGTTGCAGTGTTTGCAGCCCAGCCCGAGGATTTGACATGAAGTATGCGGCATAAGAGTACTTGCCGTAGTGTGGTCATGTGTACTGTTTTTGATACCTGGACCCAACAAGGACGATGGCGAAAATGGTGATGATCAACCGCTGCTGTTTTTTCACATGGTCGCGATGACCGTCATGACCGCGAGAACATGCTCCCCCTCTATGCCCTTCAAAGGCATACTTGTGATATCGATAGCTGTAAGCCAATATTACCCCATGTTTTTCTTAATGCCTTTGGTATGCAGCGGGCGCACAGATGCAGGTGACTTGCAGGATCACCCTGCAGCATGCGATCCAGCTGGCCGGAGTCCCAAGTCCTACGACTTCAAGAAAAAGGGCTGTATGGGGGGATATAGTGATATGAAAGGGAACGGAATAGCACATGGAAACTACTATAAGGGACAACCAAATGGAAAATGAGATGGTACATTGAATGAAGACTTCTTCTTTACAAGCGATAAGATTTGGTAGCCCCAACCTCCCTAAATAACTCAAGAGAAATCGTGTCGTGGGATAGTCTTGGGGTCCTCAGGTGAAGGCTGGGGTAGCCCAAATCCACCCAAAAACTTCAAACTACAAGTAGTTCAAATATACCAGTAGATATTCCCAGTTTCCATTTCCTTTTCCATTTTATTTTCCATCTGTGGGGCAATATCTCTAAACCCTACAGACCCTATACACCCTATAAAAACTATATGAACCTTATAAGCACCCTATAGAAACCTTACAGGAACCCTATATAAACCCTATAGAAACTCTATACAACCCCAAAGCTCAGTTTCCGGCATGTTCAGGGCTCACTGGGAAGCTGGCTCAAGGACGGATGATTTCCAACGTAATGGCTATATTGCGGCTATGCTGGGGTTATACAGGTTGTATTGGGGTCATACAGGGGTCATGCAGGGATAATGGAAAAGAACCTGGAAACTACTGTTTAGGGTTTCAGGAATAAATTCCAAAGGAACCAGCGCCCGAAAGGAAGGGTTGTTGCCCCCTTTGTCTGCTTCAAACCACTATACTCCTGTCCCCCAATATTACACCCCCCCACTCCCCCTGATATTAAATACAGCCAATATACTATGGTTTGATAATAGGGGGTGGGGATTAATCCTGATTATAAGGACGCTTAAAAGAGAACCTGCTCCGAGCTTTCTGTACATCCACACCTCAATCCTGAAGCTGCAGCCCTGAACCTTGATCCTCCAAAGTAGACTTGTGGTTTGGGTAATATTGGGATATTGGGGTGATTTTGGGGTTATTTAGGGATAATGGAAAAGAACATGGCAGCTGCTATCTAGGGTTTTAGGCAGTTTCAGGGATAGTTTCCTAGGACTCCTATTCGGACTCTCAAGTGGGTACTGCATTGGAAGGTCTAGGTAGGTGAGCCCTGCGTCCTAGATCATCTAGTCCTGACCCCTCGCATTGATTCAGCACACCCCCAAGAGGTTGCGTGAAGCTTTTGTGGGCATGCGCCGATACGCAGCAGCAGTAAACTCCAACATCCAGATTTTGCTTTGTACAGCTGTGCTTCTCATGTTCTGTGATCCACTTGGAACCTTCATGAATCTCTGTGCGTTCCCTGACAAGCACTTAGTTGTTGCTTGATCCCGAGGCGAGTTCTACTAACGGATTGTCATCCATTATCTCTTATAATCATCTATCTGTTTAGTATCAGACACTCCCAAAGTTTTTGGGCTCCTACATGAATTACGATATGTGTGATACCTGCTGAGGGCCAACAGGCCCTGAACAAAGACTTCCACGAGTTCCGGACTTGCAAGATCGTAAGAGCCTCAGGCGTACAATGCGGAAGCCGCAAGCTAGCGGGGGCTGTCCGAAGATGTGTAAGGTTGCTTGTGCAAGGAGCATTTTCGGATTTGCCACTTTAGGGGGAGGCTTCTTCTGCAGGAAGACGCGCCCTCTGAATCTAGCATACTTGTCTATATTATCTACTTTATGCTCGTTCACAAATGCTGTGTGACTGCCTTACGCATCTACGGATTCTGAGAACATCAGGGTTTGTAGATGTATATACAGGTCTCAGTTGGCAAGGCTTAGATGCAGGTTGGAGTCTAGTCTACTCTCCAAGTAGATCTTTCAAGAGTGCATGCAGATGTCAATGTTGAACCTTCGACGCTTGACATTTTCGCTGTTTTTCCAGGCAGCTTAGGATGTGAAAAGTGGTTTAAGACCCTGTGCAGCAATGAGTCGCGCAGGTCCATTTCCAGAAGCGCTTTCTATTAACAACCCTTCCTTACTTAGAAGCCGGTCTGCAAAGTTTTGAAGTCGGAGAAAAGACAAGTCTATTGCCAAGTACGGATGGCAGGAACAAACGCAGACAGGTAAGCCTCCGCCTTGAGCTTTGGCAAGCTGAAGCGCCCATGGTAGCCAAATGAGCTATGGTCTAAGCTCCTTGAAGGGGGATTATAGGGGAGTACTATAGGGGCTATTAAGGGGGATACTAGGAGTTTAGACTATAGCTCAAATGAGCCAGTGGTAAGCCGGCTTCGACAATGTCGACCGACATGGACCAGCGGCTCACGCTCACAGAGGCTCTGGTGAATTGTGGGCATAGTTGGGCTCGAGCCAAAGAAAAGGCCCACGAATCTAAGTAAGGACTTGAGTAGAGTAGAGTAGAGTAGAGTAGAGAACTGAGTTCGTTATTCACGTGTATTTTGGCTTCGGCAAAGTTTCGGGAACTTTCATTGAGAGCTTGATGGTGGGATAGTGACGACATGTCAGGCTTCAGGTGCTTCTTTGACACCCGGGCGGGAGGTTGGAATGTTTCCTTCTTGTTCAGAGTCAAGGACGCTCTAGCGTCAAACTGGCGCCTGGCCCTCTCCTCGAAGGCGCTGACAGAGATTTCCAACCTCAGCGCCTTTGAGAGCAGCATTGACAGCAGAACCTGGCGCGGGACCCAGAGACTTAGGGGATTTTTGTTGCCCCAACCCCTACAGTAAGCACCCCATAACTATCATATGACGAAAACAGGCCCTGAATTTACGGGGTTGGGGGAAATCGAATCTCCTCATTTTAGGGACATGACTCCGAGGGCTCGCAAGCTAGGTCTAGCAGTTGGGGTGCTTCTTGCCTTGCGGAGATCTGTCTTATGCTTGTAGCTATCATCATGCTTCCTGTAGTCTCCTAAGGAATTACTGTGAAATTTTTGTTATAGTATAACCTTAAGGAATTAGGAAACAAGAGTATTTTTATTATAGGTCTAGGGAGACTACAGCTTCAAGGGACCAGCATGACTATTTGTTCCGTCGCCCTCCGTCGACCTGTTTGCATTCGATGGGCAGACCCTAAGCCCTAAACGCTGAATAATATAATAGTTCCTATTTTATTTGCTTATGTTCTCTTCCATTGGGTTCTCCATTATTGGGGCAGTAGATCCCCATATACCCTTGTGTAATCTTACTTTCCATAGCACTTTCCATTTTCTTTTCCATTTGAATCTCCCTCATTCTATACCCTACGCTAAACCCTACTCTCGAACCCTGACCCTAAACCCACAAGCTTTAAAGAGGGCTCATGGGCCGAACTCAGGGAAACTGCACACGCGACAACCGGCTTTTGTTCAAAGAGTTCAGCTTAAGCATTGGAGGCGCTTGACAACTGTAAGGCGCTTAGGCCTCAGAATCCTGAAGCTTCTAGCTCAAATACTATGCTCAAAATCCTAGATTGGCGTTTAAGGAAATTAGATTCAGTTCCCATCATTTTGAAACCCTGCCATTTGCCATGTTAACATATAACGGTAGCTATTCTCAAGCTCATCAACAGCAACCCGGTAAACCCTGACGAAGGATTCCCAGCACTACGCCGCCGCAGCAGCCCAGCGCTGCCTCCGCACCCCGCACAGATGCGCAAGCAAAGGACCGGCGGCGTAGTTTTGGGGCCCAAGTTGGAACAATCAATAAGGGAGAATCAAACGGAAATTGAAATTGAAAATGAGTTTAGGGAGGGGTTCTAGGCATTGTATGTAGGGGCGTACTGTAATGTCCTGCAGGTATATCAGGGTCATTGGCTGCAGGAGGATAGCCTTAGGTAGCTAGTCAACCTTCTACATTTATTCTTCGGTTTTCACGGTCGCTTGTCATTTGGCCTGGTTTAAGGTTTAGGGTTCCAGGTTTGGGGTTTGAGGTTTCGGGTTTAGGGCTGTTTTGTGGTTGTTTTGTTTTAAATTTTGGAGCTTTCAGTGCGATCAGGTTCTTCAGGTAAGCGTTCAGTGCAAGAAGCTAAGCTTAATCGCACCCTCAGAGCCGCCGCCCAACGTGAGCCCTGAAAGAACAATAACATTCATTTGGGGTTCAGGGTTTAGGGTTTAGGGTATAAAACCAGCAGTACTAGTAGTGATAGAAGTATTCTTATCATTAGTAGTAAGACTCGCAGTAGAATGTTATAAGTTATAAAAACCAACATTACGCGTATTGGTATAAGGAATAATACTAGGACTAACACGTGCTATCAAAACTAACAATACTAGTAACAAGTAAAAGGAATGATTCCTAGTAGAAAAAGCCCAAGGAGCTCGCCCCCCAATTTGAGACATGGCTGCTGCAATCAAACCCGTGTTGCCACACAGGAAACCTTGGAGCTGTCGCACGGCTTGCAAAATTTAGCAAGTTGTATGAATCTAAACTCCTTAGAGGGGGCTGTAAAGGGAAGTATGTAGGGGACTACTATAGGGCTTATAAAGGGGGATACTACGAGTTTAGACTATGGCTCATTTTGCCTGTGTAGAGATGGCAGGGTGATGTAGTGCCTATGGGTAGAGCTGTAATGTGTCTGGAGAAACTACGTTCTCATCTTGAAAGCTCAGGGCTTGTGTGCGTTTTCTGAGATGATCTTACTGGTGCTGGGAGAGTGGGGTAGTGGATCCTCAGAGGAATCCCTATATAGTCCCTAAAGATACCCCTATACTCCCCATATTCACTCTCACACTCCCTCTTAAGCACCAGTACGGGTACCAGAGACGCTGAAGGGTTTGCGGTGTTGGCTTCAAAGGCTTTGACCTGCGTCTTACAGAGTGTCTGCGGAGGGTAACAAGAGAACTCTTGGAAGATCTGTCATCCAGAGTGGCACTTTTGGGCACAAACCGTTGCAACATACTTTCCCTATGAAGCCGCAAGGCTACCCTAGCACAGGGGTTTTAGGCAACTACCACAGATGGTGTTGAGTCGCCTTTTGAGCTCATGATACCTTGTTTAAAGTTTAGGTTCAGGAGCAGATCTACGTCTTCACCTTATTTTGTGGAATGCAGCATATGGAGATTTTCCCGTCATATCTCCCTGAAGAGTTGCGGTTGTTTCCCTGCCATCAACACGAGCGAGATATATGACAGAGATGGCACTAGCCGTGTCTTTGAACGATCATGAACGATCGATACTCATAATTTGGACTTCTCAGAAAGAACGTCCTTTTGGAATTTTGGTAGTTTCCATCTTCTTGTCCATGATTCCCTATACTCTACATGGCTCTATAGAATTGCTAGAGATAAATGGCTTCCATTTTCTCTTCCATGGTTCCTGTAAAAGCCATATAGCAGGGTCCCGCCCAAGGACGTTTCAGGGCTCGTGTTGAAGAATCGTGCTAGGTGCTCCCAGTAATCGCTTTCCGTCCTCTTGTCTGGCGGCGTTGTGCAGGGACAACTTGCCCAACTACAGCACCTCAGGGAGCTGGAGTTGGATATTCATTGCCATTGGGGGTTTGAATAAACACTATGGGAGCCACAGTCTAAACTTCTTAAAAGGGGATTATACAAGGATGACATAGGGGACTATAATAGGGGTTATTAAGGGGGATACTAGGAGTTCAGACTATGGCTTGTAGAACTTCAGATGTTGTCATCATCATTATGGGGACACCCGTTCTTGCATGCTGTGGATGCCATTCATGCTCTGTTCCCCTGCTCTCGTCACCACGGCCCTAAACCCTAAACCCTAAACCCTAAACCCTGAACCCTGAACCCTAAACCCTACTCCTTAGTGTTGGCACGCTTATTTTTTATCATGCTCTCATCCTTTCATTCCAGACCTCGCCGAGCCAAGGTCCCCAGCCACTACTTGCCATAGTTCAAGTCCGGCAGGCACTGCCGTTTGGTATGATACCACCTAGATGTAGGGTCTCTAAATTCTCTTATCATAAACCAAAAAGTCTCCCTACAGTTCTACAGGGATGATTTATGGATGGCATGCAGATCCCAAGCCAAAAGTCACAATCTTTTGCATGTCTGCGGTATTTCTGTGTCTTCCTGGTTGTTATTAGGTAATGAAGGCAGGGATCCGCGTAGAAGCCCATACATAATACCTGGCAATGTAATGTAGTCATTTCCGTAATCTTTTCCGTTCCGTCGTTCCCTACTGACAGCCAGCAAGCTTAGAAAGGAATAGTCAAGACATCCAATGTACTTCAAGCACTTGCAGCCTTCCGGGACTTTGCCCAGGGTCGTTCAGAAATTGTCATGAAGACCTGAAGCCCCCTTGGTACTCCTCCAGTTTATTTCAAAGAAATGACAGCTGCAGTGACAAAGTTACACTTTTGCGTAGGTCTTTGGTGTTGTTTTGTTGATTCTCGTTCAATGCTGTCCCGAAGCCCTAGTTGCTGCAAATCCCAAGCCCGAATCCCTGCTGTAGAGCGCAACCACCCTGAGACCTATTTCGAGAAACTCGAAGCTCTGAAGCTATGAATCCCATGCCCAAACCTCATCACTTGATCCCCAACCCGCAATCATGAATATATACCCCGACATATTAACGGTACTTAGTTGGTATTTATTATTGCCGGGGTGGGGAGAGCTGTTATCAGGGGATTTCATTGTAAAACTAGGTTGGGTGTGGATAAGGTCATTCCCCCTTACAGGAGCTGTCCATGAAGGGGCTCATTAAGGGGCTATTATACTTTCTTTTATCTACTGTCAGTGGTAACTGTTACCGTAAGGGGGAAGGCCTTCAGGCCTTCAGGTGTGGGTTGAACCCTGATCCCTAAACAGCATTTGTAAGGGTCTGATCGGCGGCTTGGCCACTCCTTGCAAGCACCGTCCCTCTGGACCTCCCAACCATCATATACAATATCAATAAGAATATTCATAACAATGATAATGGTACAAATTATAAAGACACTGATAATAAAAACAATAATGGCCATAATAGTATGACTAGTAATAAAAAAATGGTAAGCACACCAAAAAAACTCTTCCAGGCACCCTATCTTCCATGCTGTCGCTGTCTATGGAAGAGTGGGAGGAAGAATCGCGGCCGGCGGAGGCAGCAGTGGTGTGAAGAGTGTGTAGGATCCCAGTTTAGAGTTGGGGTTTAGGGTAGGAACCCAAATCGGAGATTTCTGGGTCACGAATAGGAGTCCTAACCCCAACCCCAACATGAAACACATAATTCTATGAACGCCTAGATGATCATGCTAGCCTTTGCTGTGTTTCCAAGTGCTGGCATGGGATGGTACAGCAAAAGGCCATCAAATCCTTACTGGAAAGATCTTGAATTGTCACACCCCCTTACATAAGCACTTTTGTCATATTGAAGTAAAAGCATCTCATAGCTCCAGCTTCACCTGCGGCAAAGCTCTTTTTCGCCAAGGTTTCCTTCTTGTCAGCCGAGTTTTTACATAAGGAATTATGAAGGTAGGCATCCCAGGTATGAATCCCCAGCCTGTCATAGAATTGCTATCTTAGGATTTCCAGTTTCGAGAAAGATGCTAAAGCCAAAATCCCAAAGCTGAATTCCCCAGTAATAATATTAGTAATTGTAGTAACACTAGTAATTATCGTAATAGTAGTAATTATAGTCTTTGTAGTAATCATCGTAGTTATAGTAATTACAGTAGGAAGAGTAACCCCTCAACTCCTCAGACCTGACAGTAACCTGACCTAACGTTCCCAAAGCTAAGCCCCATATGATGTCTTCTTAGAAGCCCACCGCCGCAAGTCATCCTTCTCTAACCGTTATATATATGTATATATGTATATGCACGAATAATAATCATAGAATTAAGAATCGGAATAATCGGAATAATAGTAGTCATAGTATCAGGTTTCCCCGTCAGCGGGTGGCGCCAGCAGGCGCCAGGAATTGTGAGCTTCGAGGAGATGATGTCAGTAGGATTGCCATTTTACTCTTACCATCACTAGTATTGCTACTGATAGTATTTATATTTGTATTATTCGTACTATTCTTACGACGCATTAGTACACATGTGATTCTTATTATGAATATTCTTACCGTTATTCTTACTAATTCCCCCATTACTAAGACTATAACTCCTGCTATTAGGATTTGAGGTTTGGGGCGTAGGGCTTAGGTGTTGGTGTAGAATTCAGTTTAGGGTGTAAGATTAATGAAAGAGTCCGTGTGGGTTTTCGGATTTCAGCTGTGTGCAACTGCGCCGGAGCATGTGCAGGTCATGGAGAGCTTCTGGAGATGAGAGATTTTGGGGTCCCAGGACAGCGGGACCATCCCGAAACCCGAAATCTTATTGGGTCGTAGAAACAAGGCTCTTCCTTCTATGGGTCTATGGGACGGACCGCAGACCAGCGTTTCGAGACTTACAGTCATGGTGGGTTGAAAGCTTTCAAGAAAACTGTAGGGGGATTCGTGGTGCTGCTTTTTCAGGATTAAGAAGCGAGTCCTGCTCCTTTCAGTCATGGTTTGATGGTATGAATGTTATATAGGGCGCTTAACCTCAGGTTGAAACCACATGCCCCTAGTATGGGCACTTAGCCCTGGGATCCATGTATACCTGCTACATACCCTATATGTACCCTTGAGTGTCTTACCCTTTTTCAAATGTTGCTGGGTGGGGGCAGGACCCGCATTATGAGGCATGCGCTTGCAGTCTGTCTTGGGCAGTCCCTTGGAGGCGGCAGCCGGTCGAAAGCCGAGGTGAGGCGGAAAAGGCGCTGGGGCAGGATGGGGGAATACGAGTTCCTAAGCTCTTAACCCCTTAACCCTGTATGTCCCTTTTTGACATTATCTAACCCTGAGGAAAGGAGAAGGGCAGGGAAGGGAAGGCGATCCCAGGGAACCTAAGTTGCTCGAATTTGCAGTATACTATTAGTGGTAAGAATAGTAGCAATAGTAATCATGGTAATTGTAGTAAAAAAGAGTACTTCTAGTAATTATAGTAAAAAAAGTCATGAGAGTAAACATAGTAGTTATAGTATTTATAGTAAGAAAAGCAATTAGAGTAGTAATAGTAAGAAGAAGGCCTCCATCTTGTAGGCGGTCATGGAGGCTGACAGGCTTGCAAACGGATCAGCTACGACTCCAATGGGTGTTCTTAAGTTCTTGGCATTCAGGGCGGTGTGATCTAAAGCACAGCCAGAATCTTCAATGCTGGATCTTCGGTGGCAACAGAAAGGGGCTTGGAGGCAGAGGACGGCACGTTGGCGTGTCGATGGATGCTCTTAATACTCTGGCGGGCGTAGTTGGACTCATGGTTGTAGCTTCTGATCCAGAGCCCCATAATGTAGAAGGCCGAATGATTACCAATAATGTGGTCCCAGATTTCTTCCATGATCATCGTATAAAAATCCTAGGACCCAGAACTACATCTGGCAGCTAGTCACACCATGGCTTAGAGCTACTCTGCAGGCCTAAGTGTTGGGTGCCTGCGCAAGCAGGGGGCGGAGGATTAGACCAACACACCGATTCTGGTTGTTGGGTTCTGCTCGGTGATGTGCCTTCGCAGGAAATGCCCCGCCCCCCCTCCCCACCATTCCCTTGTGTGTGTTGCAGTGCCATTTCTACATGTTATTTCCAGGCGCCGCATGACAGGACGCCCTAAAGCCTGACCCCTAAACCCTAAGCCGTAAGCCCTAAACCCTGAACCCTAAACCCTACGCCGTAAACCCTAAACCCTGAACCCCAAACCCTTAAGCCCCATATCCCCCCTTACGCAGCGAAGGCTGAGCACTCAGTGGAGGGGGATGCCCTGCTTCAGCTCCTGGACCTGAGGCCTCCTTGGTTTAGAGGGTTTAGGGTTTAGGGATACCTTTGTAGGGCTATCATAGGGATAGGTCCGGGTTTAAGGCTTCCCAAAGTTGGGGGGTACCTTGAAAGGGATTGTAGGGATTATATAGAGACAGTATCTTTTTTTCCCGAAGCGGATTATAGGGGTTCTGCGGGGATACTGTTGGGCTTAGGGTTTCCCATTACAAGGATTATGGGAGATGACAGGGATTTTATAGGGTCCAGGGCTTTCCCAAAATTAAGCGTACCCACACTAGGCGGTGCCCATAGTAAGGATTTCAGTTTTTGGGAACCACCAGTTGGGTTGGTGGGCATTGGGGGATGCTTGTGGGGTCTCTGTAAGCTGCTGCTGGGGTAGCTCTAGTCTCGGTAAAGGGTTGTGAGACAAAGACATGGTACGGGATATTCGTGTCTGACTTAAGGATTTTGGGCGTGTGGGGTTCACGTAGGTTCCAGAAGATCCTATGAAGCCTCTTTTGCAAGAAAAGGTTTTGACAGCTTCTGCCAGATCTCTTTCTTAATGGCTGTTTAGCAGTCCTACCTTTTGAAAGACCTACCTAACTTGCAGATGCCCTTACCTAACTGTGCCTCGTTTTGGGAAGGCGTGTAAAAACCATTTACAATGCCTCCATAACTTGCTGGGGCTTAGTAGGGAAGAGAATCCTTACATAATATTTTTCCTTATTCCCTACTAAGTCCGTAAAAGAAGCCTTATGGAAGAAAACCTATCCCTAAAGCCGAAACCCTTTTCCTCACCCCTAAGCCCGAAACAGCGTGGCTGTCCCTGCGAGGGGTACCTTCTGCTTCGACAAGCCTTCAGTGCGACATGTTCTTGGTCGGCAAGGGTGTACAGCGCAAAAGTAATTCTTACTGGGTGTTAGCAGGGAACAAGGAACGGTACTATAGGGTTTAGGGTTCAGGATATAGGGTTAGGGTTTAGGGTTATTAGGCATACGGGGATATATTATGTAGGAATTATATTCCCTCAATTCTTTATTAAACCCGCAGTGAGAATGACCTATGTTATAGCTCTAGACCAGGGTAATGGTTTGGACCCCAATGCAAAGGACAATGGAAAATGGAACGGAAGCTGGGTTTATGCAGCGTACATAGGGATACATACTAACATTATGGCGTTAGAGTTCTAGTAAAATCATGGTATGTATAGAGTATTCTAAACAGACTATATAAGCAACATAATGTTGGTAATGACTCGGGCCCACCACAGTATGTGGAGAGCGTGCTGCTGCGGGGAACACTGGAGCCTACTGGCACGAACGACTAGTATTATTGACAGTGGCAATAATAGCACTAACCGCTCCAAAGCTTACTACCCCCAAACTCTAACCCATTAAGCCCTAAGCCTCTACACCCTGCATACAGCCTACGCTCTGAACCACGGAAGGGCCCATGACTGAGGTCGGTGAGGCCCTGGGAGCTGGAGCGAAAGAAGCCGACCGGCCCACGAGCAAGTCGTCGGACAGCAGCTCGTTTTTCAAAAGCAGCAATGTAGGGGCCTAAAGACTATAAGAATGGAGGTCTGCTATATACTGAGTCAGAGTCGTAACCGCATGGTGTTCATATTGGTAAATGCGATTGCCAAGGTTTAAGGTCAAAGTGGCTTCCTATTCAGGGATCATGCTTTGGTATCGGATTACGAGGGCTATTCTAATTAAGCGTATGGGAGATCCATATATTTTTTTGGGGCACACCACTTCAGCAGTAGTTGCAGGAGCGACCTTGAGTATCAGGGTCAAGGCAGTTGCAAGTCCCACCCCTGTATGTCCAGATCCGCAGCAATCAACTTGCACTACCTTATGCTGTAAATGCACGGGAAGTTGTGTTATAAGCTACGAGCTATGCCCCGATTCTGAGCGCAAATACGTAATCTGAACTCCACTAACACCTCCACCACCAAACCTTACAAGTAAACCCTAAACCCTAGACCCCGGAGACCCAACCAGGAAATGGTCGTTTCCAGGGCTCCTTCTTGGCAATGCCTATAATAAGGATTCTAGTCTGTCGGGGCCTATGTGAATCCTAAACCTTAAGCTTGAATTCCATACGACCCCACGGTTCCACAGCCTAAGGCCACCAAAAGCGCGCTGCAGGGCGGGACGCCACGCCTCTCAGCTGGGCAAAGCCAATGCACCCCCGCCTTCTTGGACCATGGGATTCAAAGGACTTGAGGAAATACATAGTGCAGGGCCCCCCAAAGCCTCTTTCCAATTAAAGGGCCCCTCTGTAGTCCCAAATCCATGTGTTTCTTTAAATTTTTGGCGGACGCGCTTACGTTCGCCGGGAAGCTATCACGAGCAAGGCACTTTGACCACCTGAAGGGCACCCGGGACGCGCCCAAAAATATACGCGCAGATGCGCTGGATGAAGTTCCCTGGCATGCGAAAACGCTGATGTGTTTTGGAGTCTTGTAGCAGTTGGAAGGGATTGTATCGGTCTGTCATATCATTCTACAAATAAGGAAAAAGTTACAACGAGTACATCGTTTGGCACATCACATGGCCAGTACGCAATGTGTGTCAGGCCTTCGTATTATTTAGTGCTCAAGTTCCTTGATTCTGAAGGAGCAGACGTTTGAAGCTTGTGCTTTTGGTGTAATCTCCCACCATCATAGGGTAGTTTCCCCACCCGGATATAGACCCCCAAATACTATAGTCTTTATTATGAAGACACCCCCCCAAGACATAGTACCCATAATTTTGGGAAACCCTCAACATTAATCCCTAAACCCTAAACCCTAAACCCTAAACCCTAAGCTGTATTCCCAAAACCCTTGATCTCCCCCCTAAGTTTGGGAAAAATCCGCTCTTTTGGGAGTGCCTTGCGTAAAGGCACCGAGCCTCATCTGCAAGATCCTTGTCATAAACCCTACATACTGTGGAGAGGGTTTAGGGTTTAGGGTCTGTAGAAGCCTCAGGGTTTTCATAAAAAAAACACAGGTTTTTAAATGCTTTTTGCTGAAGACACTGATAGCTTCCAAACTTTGGGATCTCGTTTGATTGTATACGTATAATATAGGGGACGTCAGAGAGACCTCAAAATTAGATGGGTCATTATTTGGGCCCCTTCCATCAACCCTGAACTTGCCGGCTTTGAGCTCAACCGTGCTATATCGACATGGTAGGTTGTCACAATCGTGGTCCCATTTTGGGTCCCCATGATAATATTAAGGGAACGATCCGCACTGACACAAACGCGCGGGGGAGACGAACTAGTATAAGGATATGTCAAATTCCTAAACCCTAAACCCTATACCCTGAACCCTAAACCCTAAACCCTGAACCCTAAACCCTAAACCCTAAACCCTAAACCCTAAATCCTAAATCCTAAACCCTAACCATGGCAAGGCCAGCAGTTCAGGGCTTGCTGAGGAATGCAACAAGCAGGATCTGAGTGTTCAGTTTTTCATGAATGTTGGCTCAAACTGCTATCTCTCCGAGGTTTCTGCGATATGGGTTCTTTTGGGATAGTGGAAAAGAGCGTGGAAACTACTATTTAGGGGTTTGGGGTTTAGATTTTTGGTTCCCCGGCAGCGCTTTTCTGTTACACAAACCACCCTGAGACTTTCTCGAAGCTCAGGAACGAGTCTGGGCCCGTCCGATGGGCAGGAACGGTTTTGTTGTGCGTTTACTGAGCCCCACGCACGGACCAGAATCTTGATCACCTAGCATATGAGCTATAGTCTAAATTGCTTAAAGGGGCATATAGCGGATTATATAGGGGAGTATTACAGGGATTATGAAAGGGGTACTAGACGTGTAGACTGAACCCTCGGGCTTATAAAGGGGCATGCTAGGAGTTTAGACCTCAAGCCCTAAACTCTAGGGCTGATTAAGGAGGATGCTAGGAGGCGTAATCGAAATTCAGACCCGCTTTGCCCCTACGATGGGAGTTTCGACCCTGAACCCTAAATCCTACAGCGTGATGCCTAAACCGTGGAAAATATTGAGGGGATACTAAAAGTGTGAGTTTAAACCCTTAACCCTAAGCCCAGAACCCTAAACCATAGAGGTCATTCAGGGGGATACTAGGAGTTCAGACCCTAAACCTTAAACCCTGAACCCTAAACTCTTCGAGTTCAGACCCTAAACCCTAAACCCTGAACCCTGGGTGCTATTAAGAAGGATACTAGGACTTTAGACTATGGCTTATATCGTTCTCAGGTTCTGATGCAGAAGACGCTTGCAAGCCTGGCAGGCAGGGTCTTGGAACCGGGGAGTTTCAGGCTGAGGGCGGTTACCCGGTTTAGGGTTTTTACAGGTTTAGGGTTTAGGGTTCAGGGTTTAGGGTTTTTGCAGGTTTAGGGTTCAGGGTTTAGGGTTTAGGATTTATACAGGGGCTGAGGAAATGATAGCCCCCCATAATTGAGAATCAACTGTTTAGGGTGGAGGGTTTAGGGTTTTTACAGGGGTTAAGGAGATGATAGCCCCCCATAATGGAGAATCAACTGGCAAAGAAGATGGAAAACAAAATGGAACCTGGGGATTTATAGGGGCTATGAGGGATATATTAGGAGGACCCCCCACCCTGTAATAGTGGTATACTAGGAATATAATAGGACCCTAATATAATCTTTATTATCCCTTATAGTCACTATTACTGGGTGGGGGGTCCACCTAAGGGGTTTGCAGGAATTGATTGAAGGGTCACCCTGCACTTCTGAAAGCAGTTTTAGCACGGCCAGAGTTAGCTCTACAGGTGAGTAGTTTTGTATTTGGGGGTACTATGGTACCCATTATAGGGTAAGATTCTATCCTCCTTTTGGGGTATAGTATTTTATATAAGGAATATAATCTTCCTAGGTTCAACCACCAAAACAACATTACTCAGGTGTCCAAGTACGTCTTGATTTCTGGGATCATGCAGACCCATGATTAATAACTCCCCTCCTTCTAAGGGCCTTAATGTTAGGATCCTTATTGTGAATTAATTTGGGGTCTACATTACCCTGCATGCCTCTTAGGTTGTTGTTATTGCAAGGCGGCTTCCATCATGCTGCTGTTGCGAATGGTTGTTGAAAAGCTCATCTAGTTGTTGCTTCTCCAATCAAACTCGGCAAATCATTGTTATTGCCCGCACCATGGTTCTGATGATGATGATGATGATGATGACGGCGTTCATCATTGCTATTTGATGACGGCAACCAAGGCGACGTTGATGTTGAGGGTGGAGGTGGTGGTGCTGGTGGAGGTTGCGGTCATTCGGGATGGCCATGGTGACGATGATGCCCCCTGCGTTCCCTGCGTTGGTGATCGCAGTTTTTTTGTCATTCTGCCTTGTGTGACCCTTTGCTTCATCTTGTATATGGTAGTTTCCCAAAATAGGGGCACCCAATGTAGACCCCAAAATACCATAGTCCTTATTATGGAGACCCCCAAAATGGTAGCCCTAAATTTGGAAAATCCCCATATCTTGTGCCCAAAGCCAGGCAGTGCCTCTCTGCCACAGCTTCCGTCGTCCTCTTCGATCTCTCTTAGCCGTCAAGGCACACAACGCTGAGCTACAAGAGTTTTCGGTGTTTGATGTTTTGGTTTATGGACTTTGCAGGTTGGATTGCTTGATCAAGGTGTGTAGATTTCAACTCTCATACCTCCAGACAAACAAACAAATTCTCTTACATCTGCCGGCTGTGACTGTTTCGCAGTATCCGCGGTGGAAGGGCAAATGTTGACTGTGGACTTGGTATAGAGAACCTCGAAGAGTGAAATTCCAAGCATCTGAGTATGACCTCACTGGCTACAACACAAAGGACAGCTCTTCAAAATATGTCTGTGACCATTGCGAGGCAATCCCCATTAGATCCCCATGTACCCCCCCCCCCGATGCCCAAGGATGATACACTTTGGGATCACCCAAGTGTACCAACCTCTAAACCCTACACCCTAAATCCCAAACCCTGAACCTTAAACCCTAAATCCTAAACCCTAAATACCCAAACCCAAAGTTCGAGAAGATGAGGTACTCCGAGCAGCTTTTCCGTGTCTCGCGGGCCACGCTGGGTTCCGCTGCAGGCCCGGGCGAACATGCTTAGGAACTTTGGGTAACTGGGAGGTTTCCCAATATCAGGGGTACCTTTTTTTTGGGGGTGCCTATAATCAAGACTATGGTAGTTCGGGCTTTATTGGGGTAATCCCCATTCTAGGAAATTCCCATGTAGGGATTTACGGTTGGAAGGGTTTGGAGGCATCTTGAGTTGCAGCGTGGATGGGTGGAGCTCAAGACTTTTTTTTAAATGCCAGTCAACACTTAACACTCCTCACCAGTTTCTTGAAACATGCTCGATCTGCTCTTGTGCTTCTGAAGCCCCAGAGGCCCAGGGGACCCGGGAACACCTCACGCTGTCCGCTTGCAACAGGAAGCAATAGACCCTTACAACGTTCCAAGACGCCACTTGGCAGCACAATTTGGGATTGCACAGAAGGCTGGGGATCGGGAGCAACCCAAGTCATAACCAGGCAATATCTTGTGGTCTTTTACTGTTCTGATACGAGTGCAGACAACACAAGTGTTTCGCAGTATGCCTACCTAGCAGGAGACCATCCTATGCTAGGCTTCAGTTGTGCCGAGTTGGAGGGGTGTAGGGTGTTTTCGGAGATACTGAATCATTGCGGCTGAAGGCTAAGGGTAACTCGAAGCGTAGATTTGAGTTTAGCTGGAAGCCATGAACCATGTTCCACAAAGTCCTTCCCAAAACTCCATCCCTTCAACTCACTCAAATTCCCAGTTTCCTCGTGATCCCTTGGTAGGGCAACGCTATGCTATTTCCCTCCATATAGCTCAACACACCGCCCAATCACAATCCTGAACACGCAACCCTTAAACCCTGAAAGCCCTTAAGCTCAAAGTCCCTTAAACCCTTGCACCCTAAAACCCTAAAACCTTTTTTTTTTCCAATGCGCAAGCCTCTGTCAGAAAGGCCGTCAGCTTCGGCAGCAGTCATCTATTTTTCTTTGGGGGTTTATGTACTAAACTTGCCCAAGTCCTACGATTAAGAGTCGCAGGGAGGATCTTACGGTAGAAGGAGGTATTATCCATCCACATAAGAGAAGTAGAGACATGGGAGGAGCGTACTGAGGTAACATTGGGGATACGAAAATAAGAATGAGTTATGTCATAATGGGACGGAGGATCGTCTGATTCCATGTGCCAGAGGCGATTTGAAGCCTCTGTCATGGTGGATTCTGCCCAATGTAAGCGTGGTCTCCCAACTCTGTTGGGGCCTCTGGTGTACCTGTACTGTCCGGAGGGCATAAAAGTAGCATTAAACTCAAGAGTATCCCTGTGTCTGAATAGGTGGCCTAATAGGGTGAGTCGGTTCTGGGAATAGATTTGAGAGGGGGTAATAACACGTCTGGAGTTGTAGGCTAGGCCGGCAAGATATTGAGTGGAGCACTCCTCATTGGTGGGATTGAGGACCCTATGATAAAAGGAGGATTTAATTCCAAAGATACGTCTAATAGATTTGAAGTGCACATGATCCATTCTGGTTAATTGAGGAGGGGTAAGTTGTGCACTTTCCATAGCATAGAGCAGGATTGATTGCACGACTGAACGATACACAGTGAGTTTCCATGAAGGAGGAAGAGACTTATGTCCAAGGAGGGGCTTTAGGAGTTTTGAGGCAGAGATAGCCTGTGAAATACGATATGAAAGATTTCTTCGATTGTTAGAGGAGGTGTCCAGGAAGACTCCTAGGTATTTTACCTCATCAGAGAGGGGAACAATGGAGGGGGCCGCATGCGTACTAGAGCAGTGAGTGCAGTTGCACGGGGACATAAGAGAAGGAGAAAAGGAGATACGAGCATCTGAGTGTAGACGAAGGTGAGCACATTTATCGATGTTGAGGGTAAGACCCCTAACATAAGCTTCCCGTTGTAGGAGGTGAAGGAGACGGGTGATCTGTTGAGCAGAGTTTGAGAGAAGAACAGTGTCATCAGCATATTCAAGGCCCCAGAATGGGAAAGGTGTGTTTATGACCCCGGAAAGGAGACCGTACTGTGAGATATAAGAAGTTTCCACATCATGGAAAAGATGAGAAGGAACAAAATTGAAAAGGTAGGGGGAAAGAGGGCAGCCTTGACGAAGGCCGCGGGTTTGAGGAGAGACCTCAGAGCAAAAACCAGAGTCGCGAACCACAAATTTGGGTGAAGAATAAAGGGATAGGATAGAACGGACAAAAAGAGGAGGAACGCCAAAGTGGACGAGAGAGGACTCTATAGCAGAGAATGTAACGGAGTCAAAGGCTTTGGACCAGTCAAGAAATACGAGATGGAGAGAATTTTGCTGTCGCTCAAAAACCTAAACCCTCAAACCCTAAACCCTTAAGCTCAAAGTCCCTCAAACCCTTGCACCCTAAAGCCCTAGACGGCTGAACGACCCAGGTTTGCTAGCATCGGCCGCTCCGTGTTGGAAGGTCCTGGGCCAGGAACTGGCCCAAAGGGCCTCTGCGTCCAGGGCAGCGGCTGGGGGAAAACAGCGAGCCGGGTTGGAGGGTCATTTTAGGGCGATGTACAGGGAAATGGAGAAGAAAATGGAAACCCCTTAAAAGGATATGCAAGGATTATTTATACAGGCATTCATAGGAGAATGGAGAAGAACATTGAAACGATCATAATGGAGAATCAGATGGAAAAGAAGATGGAAAATGGCAGGGAAGGTGGGGTTTTAGGGTGTGAATAGGTATATGAACTCTAAATTCTCAGCCCCAATAGTTTAGACAGGGAGGGTTCAAGGCCCTTATGCACGTACCGCTTGCTAGGCAGGGTTCAAGGCATCTGGTTCCAGAGTTGAAAACGATTTTGATTTTAGGGTTTAAGGTTGAGGAGGGTTTAGGGTTAAGAGTTTAGGGATACTTCAACTCAATAATAAATATAGAGTAAGATCGAATATAAGTTTTCATCATAGCCAAATGAGGATCCAAGCTCTGTTTTGGGCAACCAGTAGGCCTTGGGTTTTCGGGATCTCCTAAGTTCTTACCCAGAGAGCGCAGCACTGTTGCCAAAAGACACCCAAACGTGAACACCCATCAACTCAACACCTGTCAAACCCCAAACTGGGTCATTGTTGAAGAGAACAAGGGTTTAGGGTTTAGGGTTATTGAAACACACCATGGGGAATCTGCAGCTACTGGTTAACGTTTACCTGCTATCCAACTAGTAAACCCCTAAACTCTGTAAACTCAACTGCGAACTCTCAGCCCCTTGTCAGATTTTCACAGTCCCAGAGTCTCTCTTATAGCGCCGAGGATTCCTTGAATCGCTTGGGCTCGGCCCGCACCTCAGGTTCTGTGGCTGTTCTTCGGATTTAGGGCGTAGGGTTGAGGGTTCAGGGGATGCTACAGGGATTCTATGGGGACATTATGCCAATAGCGGAGAATCAAGTGGGAAAGAACATGGAACATGGAAGCGAAACCGGGCTTGGCTTATTGGGTGTCATGTTACTTGCCTTCAGCTAGCACGGAATGAAGGAATGGATCCTCTTTGTGGTCTCTTTATAATCCCCAAGGATTGAACGGTTTATGCTTTCTTGTCCATTCCCCTATATATATCCTTAGTACAACCCCATATGACCCTAGCTTCCACGTCATGTTCCATTTCTTTTCCATTTGATTCTTGATTATAATCAGTTCCTAACCCCTGCTTCAAGATTGCGAGGATTCCGCACCATCAAGGAATGTGCCAGGCCCCAACCCTAATTTCAGTTAAAGACCCTTAAAGCCCTAGACCTTGGGTACGGCCCCCACCCATTCACAGCTGGATAATATTTATACGATAGTTACATATAGCCCTTAGTATGATCCCTATTATAGACTTTCAATGGGCAGGGGCAGGGCCCAACCTGTAAACCCTAAACCCTAAAACATATAACCCAATATAGTAGTTTCCATTTTATTTTCCATTACCCCAATATAACCCCAATACATACCCAGTTCCACATCTGGGCATGTGTCTTCAGGAGTGGCGCATCGTTCCCAGCCAGGACTGCTCCGGGTTCAGGGTTCGAGGTTAAGCTTTTCGGAGTCCGGCGAAGGTGGTAGGAGCTAGAGTGTGAACTCCTTCAAGGGGGGTATATAGGGGATTCTATAGGGGCGTATTAAAAGGTATGTTAACGGGGATACTGGGAGTTTATTTTGTTCGATAGCTCATATTGGGAATTAACATCATTTCAATGGAGGCTTGTTTCTCTTTCAGCGTGGCATTGGGGTAACTCTACACCCAGGACACAAGGCACGTGCCCATGTGAGAAGACCGTGGAGCATACTTGCCCCTACGAGCGCTTTATTGCTTGTTGCTGCAGGGCCTATCTTGGTTGTTAGATGTACAGTGTCCTGGAGTGCCATGCATGACTTGTTATTTTTTAGCAGTCAACTTGGTTGTTTCAGTAGGGCCCATGCCAAAGAAAACAAGGCTTTGCCAGAAAGGCTCGCTTGAGGCACGTCTTCCACACCCGAATGCATGTGTCCACGCTGCGGGCCTTGGTTGCACCTGGGCCTGTAACTCACTGCAATTGCAGTGGACAAGCATAATCTGGATCTCAACATCCCAAATGCTCCACTATGAGCCAAGAAGAGGCACCGTGATTCTGATAAACTGACCTCCGGACTCACATGTAGTTGCACAAAACAATGCCCAACTAGTACTCTATGCGCCTACATAATGGCAAACGCTGGCCCAGAAACTTTTTCATCCTGATACAACTACTGTACAACATATCACAAACCCCTGTTGAATCATTTGGGCCCCGCATACCTTCCCCCAGAGACCTTTCAAGTGCAGGAGCACCTTATGCAGCTCCACATGCTCACCATCGAGCGGCAGGTGCAGGACGGACGCTATGATGCGCACTGGGTTGACTAGGTAATATGTCATAGTCTCTCGTAAGTTCTACTGTAGACAGCACCAGCGCTTTACAATATGCCTACTATCTTAGGTCGAATAAGGGCTAAAGTGAGCGCCAACGCCTAGGCCTTAGGCCTCACACTTTTTAAAGCCTCTTTGGATCCTTGGAAAAAGGGAGTCTGCCCACGGGATTCGCGTTGTGTCAGTCCTGGTTGTGGGGTCAGAAATATGCGTGAGATGGTTCTCCCCACAATAGGCAGAGCAAAATCAAACCCGTAATTTGTTGATTTTGGGAAGGTACCCCAATATAGACCCGAATATATTATAGTCCTTATTATAGGGACCCCCAAAAAAGGTACCCCTAATTTTGGGGAATCCCCATTTAGAGAATGACGAAATGCTGCTGAGATCTTTCTCAGCATCGAGCGGGACATCGAGCTCAAGTGGTGTTCGATCACGCACAAGGCCCGGAGCTTGGGGACAGATCAGCCGAAACCCTGAAAGCCTTCAACCCTAAATCCCAAATCAGTAAAAAGAAACACCTGAAC